AAGAAAGTTGCCTTATTTTGTTGAATATCAAACTCAAAAAACACTAGAGAAATGAGCGATGAGCAAAAAACGCGGCCTCAGGCCGAGAATCAAAACCCGCGTTTAATCCTATCCGGGAAAGCGTGATCTACCACTACACCACCGAGGCACGTTTTGCCCGACTAGTCATTATTCAACATCTCAATGTTAGCTATCAGCACCAACCTTTGACAGGTTTGGTCGGATATGCGATTTCGCTTCATAAACCCAGTTGAGCTGACAGCTATTCTCATTACTAATACTCGGAATTAATTGTATTTTGATGCGGGCAAACTAATGAGTGGTCGAGCGAACGTGCCTCGGTGGTGTAGTGGTAGGGCAACGCATCCCCGGATAGGATGAAACGCTTGTTCGATTCCCGCCTGAGGCCGCGTTATTGCTCATCACTCATTTCTCTTAGGTATATGGAAAACATCATAACAATGCGAAATGTATTGAAATACTATTAATTCCAAAAAACACGTAAAGAATAAAACTCAAAAAACACATAAAGATGCTCAAAGTCCCAAATGATTACTAATCTTGAAATAACATAATATAACGGTTATTAACCCATTCCCAAATAGTTAGATAATCCACGCCCACTAGCCATGGTGTAGTTGATAATTCTGAGAGATCTGCACTAAAACCTCGAGTTTTTACATGAAACGGATTGAATCAGTATGAGAAAACGAATATGAGTTAGTCAGATTGCTATTTAACTATCAAACAATGACATTTTGAAAAAACTGAGCTGTACGATGGGCTTCTCTGTCTTAAGCCGAATTAAATGTAAGTGCATACACACTGTTGCATCTGATTATTTTCAGCCAACACCTACTGTTCATAGCTCTAACCATCTGAGAAACCTCACATCAGTAATTCGGAATTCGTCTTTATCATCCATACCGGGAACAGTGATCTCAGCTTGTGACACAAAATTGTATTGTGAAATATCATCGCCAAGTTGGAATAGATCTGAAATCTTCATTGTGATGTTATGTTATCAATGATAGAAGAAAACGTTCGATGACGTCAACACCCATAACTATGCGCCATGCAGTCGACACAGTTTCTTAAGAATGGACACAATGAGTACTCGCACGTATATTTGACCAATAGAAAAGCCTAACTATGTATCAGATAGCTTTTATTCTCTAATCATGTCTTAATTCAATTTGCAAAATTCGTAAGCAAGGATTAATGGTTCGTCCAAAGTAGAAAAACAAAACAAGGAGCACGTGAGTTCCTAGAGTACTTCTGGCCGTTGTGCTAAGAACGGCTTTGTCCTGAATGATAATAAAAATAGAGGTTACGTGGTTGAAACAGAAAAAGCCGCTTTTCAAACGTTTGGCATTCCAAATCCAAGAATCCCCCGCTACTTTGTTTAGGGCGTCAATGGTAATCAACGCGTATTACTCTATGTAAATAAAAGAGAGAAACTGTATTTTAAAACGTAGAAATGGGTCGTACATTGCACAGGCTGATGCGCATTAAACGAAGAAGCTACACATTGAATGACGTCATTTCGCTTTTCTTGTTCCTTCTCCAAGAAAAAAAGATGTAAATGTCAAGTTCTACAAAATCAAAGTGAACATACCACGAAGTTTTTTCTGGGTGAATATTTGATAAAATATATGATAAGATCGTTCGCCACGCCCTGCTTGATCACTCGTGATTTCTCGAGAAGATCTTAAAAAAGAAGAAAAAAGTTAAAACAATAAAGGAGTAGTAGATTTATCAGACTTAGATTTTGAAAAATCAAATAAAGAATTTGTAGGACTTAACTGATAAGTTTTCTGAAGACCAAAAATTTAGTGATTTATCCACCTACTTCGTAAAACGCTTTATATTTGTGAATATTTGAGTCAGTTCAATAAGAACTAGAATCGCTTCTCATTTTTCATTCAGTGGGATATCAGCGTCGCTTAGCTCTTTTTATGAACATGAGTATTGACTTTGATGCATGGATATCTAGGATATTCCATTTCATGCGTGCAGATTTCGGCAAATGCGCCAACTGGGCTAAGTCTTGGGTTGCCAAAATTTACTTTTTCTACCTTTCCGAGAACCGAACGATGGGAAGATAATCTCGAGGAACTGATTTGTCGTACCTTTTCCTGATCTCCATGTTAATTATGTTCATATACTGATACAAGTTTAGCTCGAAATCCAACGACACCCTATAATGAATGATACGCCCGTCTCGATACAACGTCGGCGGTCGTGAAAAGGTAAACATGCCGACGGAACTATGAGCCTATATTAGAGCAAATGTACCCAAAACACCTATTTCTGTCTCCTTCACGATTGCATACACATATATTTATATGTATAATTTCGTAAATCGATGTGCATATTTGAAACTCATTGATTTCTGGAAAAGATTATTCGAAGAAATTGTAAGGGGAAAATTTGAAAATGTGCGCTCAACATCACCTACAATGTTCAATATCGCCGCCGACGAGTTTTCCACGTTTGTCGAAATGAATGCGAATAAATTTACCATATCTCGATGAATTGTAGTTCCTGTAAGACTCTTAAATGTAGTGATAATGTAATATTTCTCCCGGAAACTCGGAAAGATTCCAGACTAACTAGCAAGGTTTCAAAAAGTCGAAAAACTTCGTTGCATCCAACAATAGAATATGATGGTCATCATCCAAAAAGTATGATAACTCTTAAAATTTGGGACAAAAAACTAGTGAAAAATTACGGGATAAATGTTCAGATTACGGGACTTGATTACGGGACGGAACAGATTACGGGAATTACGGGACTAGTTGAATTTATTTCTATTTGATGACGTCTTTCTTCATTTAATGAAATGACTAAGTGAAGAAATAAACTATCTCTTTATTCAATAAAGTCACTGATGCAGAATGATGTGCAAAACTTTTGCGTCATGTGGGACTGGAACCCGTTGTAGCGTAGATAAAGTGTAAAACGGGTGTCGAAGTGCAACGGTTCGAGCACGCGCCCGAGGACAAGGTGAAATATGGGTACGAGTCCCATTCGACGCGAATATTTTGAACATTACTCTACATCAGTGGATATATCAATTCGTCATACCAGCGCTAAAGGTGGTCAAGTAAAAAATTCTGCTTGATCATCAATCCAGTCATTTATGTGAAAAGAGGCAATCAAATTCAAATAATCCAAGCGAGGAAATAAATTAGTTGCTTGGTTTGCTGGTGTAGAGCCTGCCCATACCTACTCTGAAACTTGGTGCGATCTCTACTCAAATACGGTTAGAAAGAAAATTATGGGGCTCTTTGATAGGCATGGGATAACTCCCATGCGCATCATGAGAATATGTAGTTTCTTAAGTGGAATTTTCCTACTGATGGCCTAGATATTATTCGTTTTTCGTTTTCACTTTGTTACATACCTCCGCCATGTCCAACAATTCAATCCAAGTTCGTGTGTTATTGCGCCATTATTGGAGAAAGGGTCTCTCACAGCGAGTTACAGTCGATGAAATCAATGAAGTTAAAGGAAAAAGCACAACAAGCGAATCAGCTACTGGATGTTAATTGCAACTCTTCAATGCTGGACATCTTGACCACGAAGGCAAGCCTCGTTTAGGATGTCCGGATGAATAGTTCGATGATGCTGAAGAAGCATGTCAAGAATTCTCTGACGAAGTCGAAAAAATGGTACCTCGACCATATTTGAAATTTGAAGAATCGAAAGCAGAAAGTCGTAGAAAACGATGGCTTTTATTTCAAAAAATAGTTATTACTGTTTTGTTTGGAAATCATTTACAAATTTCCAAATTTTTACAAGTGCTCCAAAACTTTCTCTCCAACCTATTATTTTTCTGGAAAGGAAATTATATGGCTTCCTTGGAGTCCTAAGGGATACTTCACCCACTGAAGCATTTTTATATCATCTGCGTAAGCAATCCTCTACGAAATAAAAGAAGTTTGGTTAATGTATAAATAAATTTCCTACAGAAGGGTCGTGATTTCTATTGCCTTACTTTTGCTCGGAGCTTATAGACGAGAATGAAGATCTCCTTTTCAGCTTAGTAGCCAGAGCGTGATTCAAGATCAAATGTACAGAACAGGGCTTAGTTGATATAAATTTAGAGCCGGATGCCCAACAGAGAAGCTATGAAACTGTTGATTCGCCCAGGTGGCGAGGTTGAACCAGTGAATATGTGGGCATCGAAAGAAGGACCTTAAACCACTGCACCATACGTGCACACATAGATAGTTACGATTACAGACAGATCCTTGTTAAATTTCTGTTTGGATGCTTACCTGTGTATATCTACTCAAATACTCAATTACTCAATTAGTCTCCTGGTGATAGCTAAAAGCATAGGATTGAAGATTAGCGTCATTACCTTACTGTTGCACCGTTACCGAATGCTTCAATTGCGGGATTCGCTTGTACTACTTGATTTTCCAGTGAAGCCTCCTGAATATACACGAAGTTTTGAAAGTATATGAATGCTGCAAGACAAAGAATGAGATGGACAAAACATGATGCACCCATATTGCCTTTATAAGGTATTCAATAATTTTGAGTGATACCCAAAACTTTAAACTGCGAGCAGGAGTTGAACGAGCATCTCACCTTTTTCCAGACCATGTTTGTGAGACCAGGATTTAACACCCGTACAAAGTCGAGGTTCAAACATCGCTTAACATTTTTGAATATATGTAGTTTCAAAAATTCTAGCAGTATATGACTGCTAAAAATGGGATAAATATAATTTTGAAGCTAGTAATATCCACCGCAGTGAAATGCTTAATTATAAAGATAAAAGTACCGGATCTTCAAAAGAACTAATGATATTATGATTTATAGAATTAAGGGCAATATAAAAGTTATGTAAAAGTGGTCAGGCCTCTTTGTTAATAGAAAAAATTGACGTTTTAGGAAAATCTTCTTCCAGAATTAGCTACTCTTACTACTTTTTCTATAACTCAGCGCTCAATTTATTTCTTTCGGTCTTCGACGTTGCTCCGTATCAATACTCTGGCGAATGATCACCGTAAGTATTTGTATGTTTGCGCACATCTCACATGACTCCAAGTGTACGAACAAGTGGGAGTACTGAGTACTTGGTGCAATGAGATCTCAATCACAGCCAGCAAATAATAAGAGCTTTGATCG